TTTTTTTTTCCACAAAGCCCCAGTAGATAGTTGTATGTCATAGTTGCACATCCTTCTAGTTGCTGTATGTGGGACACCGTCTCAGCATGGCCGGAGAAGCAGTGCATGCGTGCACGCCCGAGATCCGAACCCAGGCCGCCAGTAGCGAAGCGCGCGCACTTAACTACTAAGCCATGGGACCGGCCCTGTTCAGTAGGTTTTAATCCTGTCGTTATTTTGTTGCTCAAATTGTTCCAGGTTTGGCCACTAGGAGCCCCCTTCAAGCTGTCCTTTTACGTCCCCATCATTCTTTGAGTACATCCTTACTTTTTGGGCACAGCAAGCTGTTCCGTGTTCATCTTGTACTTTCCCTCTCCAGCCTTGGAGTTAGCCATTTCTCCAGGGAGCCCTGGGTTCTTTGAGTGGGGAATAGGAGTGCTCATGTTATTTGTTTTAGGCCCTCAGCGCACCAAAAGCTATCTAAACTTAGGCTGCCCGATTAAATTTAAATTTCAGATAGACAACAAATACCTTTTTAGTATAAATATGTCATTTATCTGAAATTCAAATAGCTACTGTCCTGTATTTTATCTGGCAACCCTAACGTACCTATCTTCCTCACAAAAAAAAAAAAAACCCACGAGTTTAGACTTAACACCTATAATTCCTAATCAGTATTGCACGGTTCATTTTATTCGTCCTCCCTTTCTTATTTGTAACTTTCCTCTTGAAAACTTGGTTCCCCTTATCCCCAATGAATGTATTTACTTATTTGTTTAATTGGAGAACGTACAGGAAGCTGTTGGAGTTTGGTATCTGTTACTTAGTCTTTAGCTTGAGGGCAGAGCTTGCTACTGACTGTGTTCACGCTTCTAGGGTTAGTTTGCTGCCCCGTGCGTGGGCCCCCCACACCCTCGCCCCCGCCATGTGGATATGTTATTCAATTGAAATACGTTTCTGTTTGTGTTGAATTTAGGGTTTCCCCATCCTTACTGATTTATTTTCATGTGTGTGTGTGTAACACACACATGGCCCCAAAACTCAGCAATGTATGGAAAAGTATATTCAGATAAGTGTCACAGACCTCTCTCTCTTTTTTTTTTTTTACCTTTGTCTTTTTTATCCCACTCATGATCTGTAGGTAACCAATTTCATTAGTCTCTGGTTTATCCTTTTTTATTTTTTATTTTTTTTTGTGAGGAAGACCAGCCCTGAGCTAACATCCAATGCCAATCCTCCTCTTTTTTGCTGAGGAAGACTGGCCCTGGGCTAACATCCGTGCCCATCTTCCTCTACTTTATATGGGACGCTGCCACAGCATGGCCTGACAGGCGGTCCGTCGGTGTGCACCCAGGATCCAAACCTGCAAACCCTGGGCCGCCGCAGTGGAGCGCGTGCACTTAACCGCTTGTGCCACTGAGCCGGCCCCCCTTTCTGCTTTTTGTTATGCTCAAATGAGTAGATTCGTGTATATTTTCTTAATTCCCCATCTTTCTTACACAAAAAAATAGCATATTATAGATACTCTTTTGCACTTTGCTTTCCTTACTTGCTAATATGTCCAGGAAATTATTCCGTATCAGTTCATGGAGCGCTTCACGTGTCTTTTGTGTTGTAGCTGTGTAGTATTCCATTGTGTGGATGTACCATAGCCCCTGTGTTTGGTCATTTGGGTGGTTTGCATTATTTTGTAATTACAAACAGTGCTATAATGAATAACCTAATGTGTGTGTTTTTGCACATCTTCAGGGTGAATTCTTAGAAATGAAATGGCTAGGTCAAAAGGTAGCTGTTTATGTAATTTTGTTAGAGATTGCAGAAGTCCTCTCTGTAGAAGTCCTACCAGTTTGCATCCCCATCAACAGCATGTGAGGGCCCTTTCCCCCACAGCATCACAAACTGAGTGTGGTGTTATACTTTTCTCAGTTTCGCTAATCTTGTAGATGAGATATAAATGAAAAGTATAATATCGTTGTAATTTTAATTAGTTTGCATGTTTCCTATCATGGAACTGTGGTATCTTGTAATTAAAAAATAATAATTTTTTTCGTAGACGAAACTGCAAAGGAAATCCGAATTGCCTGGTTGGGATTGGTGAGCATATTTGGTTAGGAGAAATAGATGAAAATAGTTTTCATAACATTGATGATCCCAACTGTGAGAGGAGGAAAAAGGTAAGCCATCATTTTTTAAGTGATTGCTATATGGTATTCCTGTGTTTGTTTTGTTTTGTTTTGTGCCTTGATCACAAACCACTACTGATTTCAGGTAACCTCTAGCGTTAAGATAAGTAGTGGAGCTGAAGACTAAACCACTTGAATTGGAAGAGTTTTTTTTTGTTTTTGTTTTTGTTTTGTGAGGAAGATCGGCCCTGAGCTAACATGCCAATCCTCCTCTTTTTGCTGAGGAAGACTGGCCCTGGGCTAGCATCCATGCCCATCTTCCTCCGCTTTATCTGGGATGCTGGCACAGCATGGCCGGAGAAGCGGTGCGTTGGTACGCGCCTGGGATCCGAACCCCGGGCCGCCAGCAGCAGAGCGCACGCAGTTAACCGCTATGCCGCGGGGCCGGCCCCTGGAACAGTTTTTAATGGCGTGATTTAAAACAGGTAGCTGTGTATTCCAGTAAGCCTGTAAATAATAGTTTTAGTTTAAATGCTGATTCTGTGTTTGCTTTAACATTGCGTGTTTTATTTTGAACTCTTTTTAAGTCTCTTTAAGGGAGGTGGTAACTCAAGGGAACAAACTCCCATAATGATATTACTTTGCTTTCTTGGGCTTGTGTTTTTAAATATTACACATATAACATTTACTTTTTTTTTTTAATACGCATTAATATTTTCTAATTTTATTTATTTATTTTTTCCCCCAAAGCCCCAGTAGATAGTTGTATGTCATAGTTGCACATCCTTCTAGTTGTTGTATGTGGGACACGGCCTCAGCGTGGCCAGAGAAGGGGTGCGTGGGCGCGCGCCTGGGATGCGAACCCGGGCTGCCGGCAGCGGAGCGCACGCACTTAACTGCTAAGCCAGGGGGCCGGCCCTGCATTAATATTTTCTAAACATAAAGCCTGGCATTCACAAAATTGTCAGCTGTAGAGATATTTTCTCTATTAAAAAGAATGATTCTTTGTAAGTTCAGGAATTCTCGATCTTTGGAAAAAAGTTGTAACCAATGCCCCCTGCCCCCTTATTCCCAGATTTATAGGATAAAAGGGAACTTTTTTGGAAGTTTGTTTGTCATTCTTCTGAATGTTGGCAGTTTAGGAATATAGAAAATGAAAAACCTATATACACATGTTCAAAACTGCTCTTTCCTAGAGCCCACTGTTGTAATTTTAGATTTCAGTGGCTGGAGAAGACTAGAGGATGACTAGAAGACTAGCGATGAGCTGTGGTGCTGTCCTACAGTCTTTCCACTCCTGTGGTCAAGCCACATGGGGCTTTCTGAAAAGTATGCCCTACCCCGGCCAAGAGAGGCCTAATGAAGGTGGTTATACCATGTTGGTTGAGACAGTTTCACAAATTTTTAATCTGAAATTTTAAAAATAATGCTTCTCATAATTTTTTTGTTTAAAGGGAAATTTATTTTATAATTGTAAATTTTGTATTTTTGTAGAACTCATTTGTGGGCCTCACTAACCTTGGAGCTACTTGTTACGTCAACACATTTCTTCAAGTGTGGTTTCTCAACTTGGAGCTTCGGCAGGCGCTATACTTATGTCCAAGCACCTGTAGCGACTACATGATGGGAGATGGTATCCAAGAAGAGAAAGGTTAGTGGGAATGGGTGTGGGGAGGGCTCACTTCTGAGTATATTGCCCACTAGATGACTTCTGAACGAGCCGAACAGAGGAAACTAACTTTCGAGTGCCCATTATGTGCCAGGCGTGGTGCTAGATCCTCTATATACGTTGTCAGGATTCGAAATCATTTTCCCTTTTTTCTGTGTATTTATCATTTATGCGCCGAAATGGCTAATATTCAACTGAAGGAAATGCATTTGATTTTTTTTTTTGTGAGGAAGATCAGCCCTGAGCTAACATCCATGCCATTCCTCCTCTTTTTGCTGAGGAAGACTGGCCCTGAGCTAACATCCGTGCCCATCTTCCTCCACTTTTTTTATGTGGGATGCTGCCACAGCATGGCATGACAAGGGATGCCTCGGTGTGTGCCTGGGATCCGAACCCGGGCCGCCAGCAGTGGAGCGCGCGCACTTAACTGCTATGCCACGGGGCCAGCCACTGATTATTCTTAAATAGCTTACATCTACAATTTTTCTATGCAGTATGCTGTGATTGTAGTCCACTAATTTCTAGTCATTGATAAAAATCAGTAAATAAAGCAGATAAGGTTACTCTTGTGCATAGTTTGAGAGACTTAATACTTCAGTGTAACCACAATCTTTTGTCTTGATTCCCATATAGGCTGACTTAGATGATACCCTCTAAAATTAAGATGAAATTCACTAACCTTGGCAAAATCAGCCACTAATATGTGACCACACTCATTGCAAATTTAGACAGAATCAGTTTCAAATTGTTCCACTGGAGTTTTTTTCATGCACAGTATGTGGATTGTTATTCCTACTTGATATTACTTTCTATTTAGAGATTATTCTCTTTGAGATGGAACTTTCATGGAATGAACCAAATTTTTCTCCTTCTCAAAGCTGAGGAGAGGAGGGAAGTGAATGTCTAAGATTACACAGGTCTGGGAGCTCCAAGTTGGGAACTTCTGACTCTTGCTCCCAGCTCTAAATCCTATGCTGTCTTTTATATGATCTGATTTGAGCACATGGCTCATGTCTTTGGCTCAGAGAGAGAAGAGATAGGATTTGACAATGGTAATGCTTTAGAGTCTTGGTCCCTGTTAATAGCAATCTTGGCCTTAAAACACAGTACTTAAAAATTCTTAAGTTTGTTTCCCCAAAGCTTTGTTTCTATAGTTCTGAATATTTAAATCTAGATTAATAGTAGATTATTTGAAGTACTAATATATATAAAGGATGAGTAGTGTAAAATGTATTATTTTTAGTTTTTAGCATTGTTTTACTGAAATGTAAACTTAACAATGAGAAGATAGTGAGATAACAAGTGAAAACTGAATTTGTATTTTATGAAATGATGTAACATGGCCTTCTTTGAGTATTGTGGCTTTAATGTGTATCCTCAAGAAATGTTTTGTTAAATTTCTAAATACTTAAATTTTTATATTTCACCAAAGTCCTTGACCTTCTTCTCTGATGAGAGTGTACATTTCTGTTGCTATCTTAACAGGCACAGTGCAGTGTAGTGGAAAGGGTTTGTGTTGGAAATGAGGGGATCTAAGTTCCTGTCTAAGATAGGAAAACCAGCAGAGCGTGAGTTAAGATCTTACAGAATGTCTAACCTGTAGAATAAGAGTTGGAGTAGATACAAACTTAACTTGAATAACTTTTAACAGCCTGCAAAGCCCTTGCACCCCCAGGAAGTCAGATTTTTATCTTTATTTTACAGACAAAATATTGACTTCCTGAAAGTCACAAATTGGTATGAAACAGAGAAAGAATAGGGAATTATCAACAGGAAATTAGAGTAATGGGGGAGTTGGTTAGTGAGGATTGAAAAGGACTTGAAAGAATGCAGGAATAGCAGAGGTAGGGAGCAGCCGCTACCCCTGTGGCTGAAAGAGGGCACCCAGGGAGGAGGCCCTCACTCCCACTGCCCAGGCCTGAGCTGAGGCCTCTATGGAGAGAGCACTGCCAGGGCTCACTAGATAGCCCAGAGGTGCTGAGATGCTTCAGTGGGGTCCCTGCTGGAAACTGTTCACAGGGATGTGCTGGTCCTCAGAACCTCTGCTCCGTCCCTCACCTGAGAGGGTGCCCAGGAGGTCGTTCTCAGGGTGGTCATCCAAGAGGAAGCGCATCACCAGAGGCATTGCACTGTGAAGCTAGCAGAGGAGGTGCTGGAGGGAGCTGCTGGCCACTGTTAGCTACAGGAACCTAGAGTCCTGAGACAGCTGCACCCCTCCCCACACCCCACCCCCTCACAGGAGGGAGACGCACAACTGAACCCTCCAGTGCCCTCTACTGACAAGACTTTTTAACCTTGCACTAGCTGGCAAAGGAGAAGTATTTGCAGAGCTCATCTCTGCTATCACAGAGCAGGCATAGAAGGGTGCATTTGGATCTGAGAGGCAATAAATTGCTAACCGGCACAGAAGATCATACTCAATTCTTTTGGGGCTCTTGAGATCCGTGCTTCCTATTTGCATACCTTCCCCCAACTCATTAAAATTTCAACTCGAAAGTTCTAGGATTTTTCACAGACATCGTTGCATTCTTCATTCAAGATTGAATCTCTATGCTTGAGATTCCTGTCGCTTGCTCTATTTGTGATGAGTCCACATTAAGGAGATTATGTTAAAGTATTTGGCCATCTTAAGGGAATTGTAAACATAGTGTATGTATGGTTTTATTACTGGAATGGATATTTCACTGGGATCTGACACTAGAAACCGTAGTTGTGATTGCTGTTGTTGTAATGCATGTAGCCTCTTGTCTTCAGGGGATGTGTCTAGACAGCTATGGCTGCCTTATTACTTCCAAAAGATGTGTGATTTCTAATTTGTTTCTTTTAAAGTTTTAAGACTATAATAAAACACTAATATAGTTTGGATGTAAGAGTGTTTAATTATGTTCTCATGTGAAGAGAAAGTACATTTTTTAAAAAAGAAAAGTCGCAGTTTCTGAAAAATAAACATATATTTTTTAATAGATTATGAGCCTCAAACAATTTGTGAGCATCTCCAGTACTTGTTTGCCTTGTTGCAAAACAGTAATAGGCGATACATTGATCCATCAGGATTTGTTAAAGCCTTGGGCTTGGACACGGGGCAACAGCAGGTAAGAACCTTCTTTTTTTTTTAAATATAAAAAGGTACCCAAGTGTTCCTTAGAATGTTTATAGAAGGAAATGAAGTGAAATGCTTTTTAAAAATTAATTTTTTTCTATTTTGAATTAGAGCATGTATTTACTGTCCAGTATATTACACATTTTCCTTGATCCCATTTCTGAAAATTCATATGTGGGCACAAACTGATTGGACATAGCTCAAGTCATTGTTCGAAAAGGCTAAGTTCAAAGTGTGGATACTTACTGGAATATTTAACTTACTACTATTTGTATCAGAAATTGAAAAGCAAGATACAATTTTTCTTTTTATTAACCCAAACTTGTGTTGTAGGATGCCCAAGAATTTTCAAAGCTCTTTATGTCTCTTTTGGAAGATACTTTGTCTAAGCAAAAGAATCCAGATGTTCGTAACATTGTCCAGCAGCAGTTCTGCGGGGAATACGCTTATGTAACTGTGTAAGTGTGTTTCAGCTTTTTTGTGGTACATTTTATTCTAAGACAGTTGCTCATATGTTATCTAACTTTCAGTTCAGTTCCAAGTTACAGCTTTCGTGGGCTGTCGTGGGACCTGAAATATTTATAGCAATACATTTCCATGGGAACATGTAAACAACTGACTTGATAATTGCCATTGAACCCATCCAGGTGTTGGGAACTGTGTCTGGTTGAGCTCTTACCATTTGCTTTGTGGCTGTAGAGTGAGCTGAAAGAAGAAGGTTGGTCCTGGCTGGAATACTAAGAGTAAATGTAAAAGAACTCTTAAAAATTTTCCTAATCATAAAATACACGGCCTCACTAATCACTTCCTTTTTTATTTTATTTATTTATTTATCTATTTTTGTGAGGAAGATCAGTCCTGCCAATCCTCTTCTTTTTGCTGAGGAAGACTGGTAACATCTGTGCCGATCTTCCTCTACTTTATGTGGGACGCCACCGCGGCATGGCCTGACAAGCGATGCGTCAGTGTGCGCCCCGGATCCGAACCCGGGCTGCCAACAGCAGAGTGCGTGCACTTAACCGCTATGCCATGGGGCGGGCCCATAATTTATTTTTTAAATATACGTAGTGTAATAATTTCTGTGAAAGAGAACTAAGGTAATAAATGCTTTCCGTATTTCTGGGATGTAATGCAATAGAACTTTGTTGCTTTTCCCACTTTGATCTGAATTTTATCACTCTCTTTTATTATAGTTGCAACCAGTGTGGCAGAGAGTCTAAGCTTTTATCAAAGTTTTATGAACTGGAGTTAAATATCCAAGGCCACAAACAGTTAACAGATTGTATCTCGGAATTTCTGAAGGTATTCAAATTTTGGTGTATATGTTGTTTCTGCTGATTAACAGCTAAATGCTATTCTGAATGGTTTTTGATTTAATGGATAAATTCATTCAACTTTTTCTACATATGAAGTGTCTCTGTTTATGTAATGATCTAGGAGAAACTTTGTAAATTATAAAACATTGAAGCAGGCTGTGTCTTAAAAAAATTTTTGGCTATTTCAGGTTATTTTCTATGTCAAATTATGTATGTGTAAAAATTTGTTCTGTGATTGGGTGTGGTAGAGTATTTAAGGAGAATTAAGCTCTTTTACCATCAGTTTAAGTTACCTTTTCATTTAATGAGAACTAGAATGTGTTGAATGCAGATATTTTTACATGAATTTGGTCCTTCTTCAGTCCCTCCACTCCATTTTTCTACTTTCTGTATGTTTAAATTTATGTAGAGCTATGGAAGTGGTTCCCTTTTGTTCTGAGTGGAAAAGGTGCAAAGAGGAAACCTTTGTTTCCAAGTAGGAATAGACACGTAGCAAAATAGATGATCTTATTACATAGCTTCCTTTCTTAAAATATTTTTGTACTTGCCGTACTCCTTTAGCACAGCCATTAGCATGCTTGAAGTAGTCAGTTATTGAATTCATTCAGCTAAATATTGATCGAGTGCTTACTGTGGTCAGGCACTGTTTCAGCTGTTGGGGATAATGATAGTGAATGAACAGACCAAAAAAATTGCCTTTAAGGAGCTTTTAATGTAGTGGTGTGGGAACCAGGGAGGGATAGTAAGATAAATTAAGGAAAATACATAGCGTGTCAACTATAATAAGTGCTGTGGAGACAAATAAAGCAGGAAAGGGGGATGGGGAATGTGGTAGGGAGGAGGGTGAGGTTGGCTGCAGTTTGAAATAAAATGATTGCGGTTCAGGGAGCCATGCAAGAATCAGGGAGAAGAGTTCTGGGCAGATGAAATAACAAGTGCAGAGCCTGAGACAAGAATGTGCCTGGTGGTTTGAGGAAGAGCAAGGCGGTCAGTGTGGCTGAAGTGAATAAGCAAAGGGAGAATGATAGAAGACGAAGCTATAGCGAGAACTAGGGACCGGATCAGATGGGGCCTGGTAGAGCTTTGTCAGAAGTTTGACTTCACTCTGAGTGAGGTGAGATGCCATTGGAGGGTTGTAAGCCTAGGCGTGACACATCTGTTTTAATACTGGGTGCCATCTTGAGAATAGGCTGAAGATGGGACAAGGACAGACAGAAGGAGTTGATGATGGCTTGGACCAAAGGTAAGCTGAAGAGGTGATAAGTAGTGTTTGGATGTTAGATATAGTTTCAAAGTAGAGCTGATATATATAAAATTTGCAGACTGGATATGGAGAGAAAGAAAGGAGTCAAGGATTACTAAGGTTTTTGGCCTGAGCAGCTAGAGGAATGGAGTTGCTGTAACTGAGATGGGAAAGATTGGGAGGAGGAGGTTTGGGAGAGGAATTAGGAGTTTGCATTGGGGCACGTTACACTTGAGAGGAATCGTTCAGGGGAGAAGTCAGGGCTGGATGAAATTGTCAAGGGAGTGAGAGAGAGATGACAAAAGACTGAGCCAGGGACATTCAAACATTAGGAAATATAGGGGCAGCTGGCAAAGGATGCTGAGGGGGACTGGCCAGTGAGTTGGGGAAAACCAGGCAAGCATGATATCTTGGAAGCCAAGTGAAGATAACAGTATTGTGTTACTTAACAATAATCTGTATCAAACAGCTATTATAAGGGCCAGCCTCGTGGCGTAGTAGTTAAGTTTGTCATGCTCTGCTCTGGCAGCCCGGGTTTGCAGTTTGGGTCCTGTGCATGGACCTACACCACTCATCAAGCCATGCTGTGGCAGACCCACTTCCAAACTAGAGGAAGATTGGCACAGATGTTAGCTCAGGGCCACTCTTCCTCACCCCCCCCCCAAAGGCTATTATAGAAGCAAAAGAAAAATTTAGGAAAAAGCCACTATTGGCTATAACGTTGAGTTTTCCTGTGCTCCTTTTTTAGCTTTGTCTCATGAATGTCACTCAGGTAATTTTAACGAAATGTATGTGTGTGCATATATACATGTATAAAATTTTGTATATATATAATTTTGTATTCTGGTGCCCATATGTAATTTCTACGTTTTTAAAATGGTTTTTAGGGCTAGCCCCGGTGGCCTAGTGGTTAAGTTTGGTGCGCTCTGCTTCAGCAGCCCGGGTTCAGTTCCTGGGCACGCACCTTACACCACTTCTAAGTGGCCATGCTGTGGTGGTGGCTCACATACAAAATAGAGGAAGATTGGCCACAGATGTTAGCTTAGGGTGAATCTTCCTTAGCAAAAAGCAAAAACAAAAAACATGTTTTAAGTTAATTTTGCATCAAAGTATATTTCTTTTTTAAACCTATTTCCTTAGAATTCCCAGAAGTGGAATTATTAGGACAAAGGACCTAAAACAAGTATTTTTAAAATCATAGATTTCAGAAAGTGCATCCTATTTTATTTATTTATTTTTTGTGAGGAAGATCAGCCCTGAGCTAACATCCGATGCCAATCCTCCTCTTTTTGCCGAGGAAGATTGGCTCTGGGCTAACGTGCATGGCCATCTTCCTCTACTTTACGTGGGATGCTGCCATGGCGTGGCTTGACAAGTGGTGCATCGGTGCGCGCCCGGGATCCGAACCTGCAAACCCTTGGGCTGCTAAAATGGAGCACATGCACTTAACCACTATGCCATTGGGCCGGCCCACATCAATTTTCAATTTACAAATTAATAATGTCACTGCTAAGCAGTGCCTATTACCTTATGTTGTCCTTCATTATTTATAAAAGCTTCATTTTTAAACATCTTGAGTGGGAGCTCTTAATTAAAATAAAATTATGCTTTACATCAAAAGTTTGATCGCTTCTTTTAAATCTTTTCATCTTCTAATTTTTTTTTTTAACTCATATGTCTTATTTCTGATCAGGAGGAAAAATTAGAAGGAGACAATCGATACTTTTGTGAAAACTGTCAAAGCAAACAGAATGCAACGAGGAAGATTCGCCTCCTCAGCCTTCCTTGCACTCTGAACTTACAGCTGATGCGATTTGTCTTTGACAGGTGAGTCTGTGTGAGCCGCGGTGCTTGTTGCTCATGGCGCACTAGTAGGTACAGGTTTTACCTTAGATAAGGTAGTAAAATGCTTATAATTTGAAACTCTAGATTTGGGGGTGAAAGTTCTAGATGGAGCCTGTCATTTTGAAATGCCAATATTTCATGATTTTATCACAAAATTCTTAAAGAAGCAGCCATATATAATCGAGAATGGGAAAAGTAGAGAATCCTTATTTTTTATTCTAAGAAATTGTTAAAAACTGCATAGGAAAAGCAATCATTAGGTAGGAACCAAATTACCTTGACATTCTGTATTATTGTGTAAGGAACTAGAGTAAATTTTCCTATTAAACTACCCCCCACCCCCATGGGAATAGATCTTTTATTTTATAATTAAATTCAGGCAATGTTTACATGTGTACATTTCTTATATAAAGCAGGAGCGTCTGTGGGAGCTTTTTGTGATTAAATTAAGACTTTTGGAAATAACTTGTATTTGGAATCCGCACTTTAAATTTATACCTTTTAATCCATTAGTTATTTTTTTCCCAATTATAAGACAAGTATTATGTTTATGTCTAATCATACAGGTTTTTGGGCAAGATTGCTGAATGAAATCTACCTAGCTACTATGGAGTTTATTAAAATAGCTGATAGAGCTTGTACATTGTTTTATGTTTGTTTTAAATATAAATATAATTAGCTTTCTTGTTGGTTAGGCAAACTGGACATAAGAAAAAGCTGAATACCTACATTGGCTTCTCCGAAATTTTGGATATGGAGCCTTATGTGGAACATAAAGGTAATATTTTTACAGAGAAATAATAATTATGTTCAGAGACTGTAACTTGTGATGAATGCAGAATAGCGTTTACTACTAAATTTCATTTGCTAATCTCTGGGAACAAAAGCTTTTAGGTGAGCTGACATGTTACGCCCCTTTTCTGTGAGTAAATACATAAGAAAGATTAGACGGTTCATCAGTATCTGCCTAATTAAGAGTATAAAAGAATAAAAAAGACGTTTTACTGTCCTGAACCCACTCTTGATCCCTTAGTCTCAATACCATAGCTGTACTTCCTCGTAAAATTAAGAGTCTCCAAGCTGCCTCCATTCACAAGTTTTTTGTTTTTTTTTTTTTAACATTTTATGAAAAACATTAGGTGGCATAGTTGCAATATTTATGCTGTATTTCTTCCTGTCTGTAACCACTGATAAGTTTAGGATGCTGTGACATAGTTTCAACAAAAGTAATTTACTGCTTTTTCCTTTTGGTAGTCTTTAGCTTACCAAACAGGGTGATTCTTGCTAGAGAGAAAAAAATTGCCCTTTTGTTTCTCTTGCCCTGACTGGAAGAACTGTTTTTTTTTCCCTTTTAAGATTGATCTTACAATTTATGAAATTTTTTTTTTTTCTTTTTTTTTTCTGTGAGGAGATCAGCCCTGTGCTAACATCCGCCAATCCTCCTCTTTTTTTGCTGAGGAAGACGGCCCTGGGCTAACATCTGTGCCCATCTTCCTCCACTTTATATGGGACGCTGCCACAGCATGGCTTGCCAGCAGTGCGTCGGTGCGCGCCCGGGATCCGAACCAGCGAACCCCGGGCGGCCGCAGCGGAGCGTGCGCACTTAACCGCTTGTGCCACCGGGCCGGCCCCTGAAATTTTTAGTATAGAAATTACATCATAAACTCAGTCTTTGCATAAAAAGTTTCTGAAGGCAGCTTTCAAGAGAAACAAGCCGTAAATCAAAACCTTTAAAAGAAATGATTGGGGAGGTTGAGAATGATGTGTTAAATATTTAACCTTTAAAATGTGTGATGCTCTATCAGTACTGTGGTTTAAAATTTGCACCTCCGTGGAATAAGGAAACTGCTATAGACTGCTGCTGGACTTTGTTACTATTCTATTTGGCTGAATGAATAAACTTAGCTGTAGCTCACTTTATGTAGTAGTTTGCTTCCTGCCTCCTTTGTTCGGTTAATTGTTTGAAATTAGAAAAGTCTGAGAGCCTAGTGGTTTCTCAGGGGCCAGACACTTAAAGAGATGTAAAATTAGCACTTTCCTTAAGTCTGCTGTAGGATTTTGAATAGTTATTATTATTGTTATTAAATTTATTACATATTTGTCCAATTTGTACTGTAAAGAAAACAAGGAAGATATTTATCAAATAGACTTGATAGGTCAAAATACCTGTAGAAATTTTTAATTTTAGTGTGTTGGTTTACTAAATGTAGTCAATTCTTAATTTTTAAATAGAGAAATAAAAATTGTCTCCTTTTTTAGAGTTGTTAACTAGGACTGGTAAAATTAATCTGGTAGTTTGTAGTTATAGGCCTGTTTTTTTTACAGACTTGTAATGTTTGCTATATAAAGGTACTACCTTATATAGGTAGAATCTAAAAACAAATTAACTTTTGGTTTATTTTTTTATTTTTTGTGAGGAAGATCAGCCCTGAGCTAACATCCATGCTAATCCTCCTCTTTTTGCTGAGGAAGACCGGCTCTGAGCTAACATCTATTGGCAATCTTCCTCCTTTTTTCTCCCCAAAGCCCCAGCATAATATATAGTTGTATGTCACAGTTGCACATCCTTCTAGTTGCTGTATGTGGGACGTGGCCTCAGCATGGCCGGAGAAGCAGTGCGTCGGTGTGCGCCCGGGATCCGAACCCGGGCCGCCAGCAGCGGAGCGTGCGCACTTAACCGCTAAGCCACGGGGCCGGCCCTTAACTTTTGTTATAAATGCATAAGGTTTAGTTCATTCTAGGTAATTTGGAAAATTCAGAAAGCATAAAGAAGAGAAATAAAGACCACCTACAATTCTATCACGCAGATAACCATTGTTTACATTTTCCTCTATGCTTTTTGTTTGTTTGTTTGTTTTTGGTGAGGAAGATCAGCCATGAGCTAACATCCATGCCAATCCTCCTCTTTTTGCTGAGGAAGATGGGCCCTGAGCTAACATCCATGCTGATCTTTCTCCACTTTATGTGGGACGCTGCCACAGCATGGCCTGACAAGCAGTGCCTTGGTACGCGCCCAGGATCTGAACCCAGGCCGCCAGCAGCAGAGCGTGCGCACTTAACTGCTACGCCATGGGGCGGCTGCTATTTTCCTCTTTTTTTTGTGTGTGTGTGTGAGGAAGATCAGCCCTAAGCTAATATCCGTGCTAATCCTCCCCTTTTTGCTGAGGAAGACCAGCTCTGAGCTAACATCTATTGCCAATCCTCCCTCTTTTTTCCCCCAAAGCCCCAGTAGATAGGTGTGTGTCATAGCTGCACGTCCATCTAGTTGCTGTATGTGGGACGCGGCCTCAGCATGGCCGGAGAAGCAGTGCATCGATGTGCGCCCGGGATCTGAACCCGGGCCGCCAGCAGCGGAGCGCGCGCACTTAACCGCTAAGCCACAGGGCCATCCCCAGTTGTTTCTTTAAATAGTGAGCCTGCAAGTATACAGAGACCTATAGACGGAGGGATCCTCATTCCTTGAACATTTAGCTCCGGACTCAAGTCCTGCCATGTTTTGTATTTTAATAGCCCTGTAGACCACTTTGCGAGTCTGGTGAGAGAATTAAATTCATGGAATTTCAGAAGAAACCAAATATATTTAAATACAGTTATCAAAATACTAAGACAAATCTGTGATACAATAATATAGGTGCCCCTTAAAGACTAGGTTCCAGTGGCTGATAAAAACTACCATAATTCTGAAATTGATGAGTATAATGAATTGATGAGTATAAATTCAGGTTACCGGTGGTAATGTGATTTGAAAATTTTTATGTTATCTATTGGTAATAAAGTCATAGTCACTGCTAATACTTCTCTGGTTTATTGTGTTCATTAATAATTTAGGGAATACTATTAGGAACTCTTGTTGTAGACCATCTTTCCAACTGACCTCATAACAACTTTTCTCCTTCGCTGATCCTGTCTTCCACACTTCCTCAACCTTTCTGAGGGTCATACTGTGCCTTGTCCTTCCGTAGTTTAAATTTCATACCTCTCACTCTCTCCTATTTTTTTTTTCTGTTTTTCTTGTAAAATATACCACATTCATAAAAGTTCAAAATACAGAAATGTGTGGCTTGGAGAATTATCACAAAGTGAACATCTGCTTGAGCACCACGTGGGTCAAGAAAGAGAACTGTCCAGTACTGCAAAGCTTCCCTTGTCCACCTCCTAATTCCAGCCTCCTTCTTCCCCCCAAATATAGCCACTAATCTGACTTTTATGGCAATTACTCCCCCCCCCCCCGCCTATTTTTTGCTTTGGTGTTTCACTATATAAGTTTACATCCCTAAACATTATGGCTTAGTTGACCCTTTTTCCTCCTGGGATATTGCCAGGTGAAATGTAACCCACAATTAAATCTTACCCTGCTGCCCCTGCTCCTTTATTTGGGCTGTTGAAGGTAGCTGGAGAAAAACACCATCGTAGGTGTGTCCATCTGCCTCTCACACTGTTTTATTTTGGAGAATTTCAAATTTATGCAAAAGCTCTAGTCCAATCTTGATCTTTTGCCTGGGCCAGTTAGCCCGTTTATACTTAATGTAATTATTGATATTTCCTTTAATTCAAATTTGCATCAGTTTTCATAGTTTCCTATTAACTTGCATACCATTTTCAAGCTTCTTGTTTCTCTAAACGTAGAAAGCCTAGTTTTATAATCCATGACTGACATTGTTGGAATATTGGGCAGGGTTACTTCTGCTGTCTGGGCTGGTTCTTTTAATGTTGCCATGTTTCTTCTGTACCTGATCATCTTTGACCGCGTGCTGGTTATTGCACATGGAAAATCTCTTTTGGGGATTCCCTTAGGGCTGGGATGATGCCACCTCCTCCAGAGAGACCTTAGTTTTATTTCTGCCAGGCTCCTGGGGTCCCTGCTAGTTAGGCAGCGTCACAAACCAAGTTCAGTGCTTAAGGTCCCCTCGGTCACCCAAGCTATAAGAACCTGGTATGAAGGCCAGTCTAACATGAGATCTTTCCCCCCCCATTCTCTTTCTGTTACTCTGTTCAGGGCTAAGGAATTTTCTTTGTGGTTTCCTGAGGTTGGGGAGATGGAGAGGCTGTTTCTGGTTCACCTTTACATGGAATAATTGGGAGAGTGCAGTGTGGTAGAAAGAACAGTGGGTGGGTGAGTCCAGGTAAGCCCTAAAATATGGAGTGTGGAGATGCCCACCAGGTGGGGACAGCCTGGGCTGTCTGATATTACTATTTTGTTCTTTTAGTAATTAACCTGGAAATGATAACATGTACACCGAACTCTAGAGTTAATATCTTTACCCTCTAAAAACAGTACAAGGACCTCAAACCACTAAGAAATCGATTTTCTCCTAAATTGTTATTATTTTTCATATATATTTTAGTTATTTTTTTTAAAAAAAAAAAGGAACTCATAGGATGCTTTATTATTATGCTTTATTATTTATTTGTAGGACTACTGGTATTTAGTTTACCCACCTCCTTTGTTTATCATTCGTTTTTGCATTCTAGACCTTCTATCTGGAATCATTTTTTTATATTGAATTAGAGCTTATAAAATTAGTAAGGGTCTGTTGGCGACAAATTATTTTCACAGATCATTGTCTGAAAATGTATATATTTTTGTTCTTGTTGTGAAATTTATTTTCTCTAAGTAGGGACATTTTCGCTTAGTACCTTCAAGATTCTGTTGTCTTAGGACTTCAGTTGTTGCTGTGGAGAAATTAGTTGCAGTCTAATTCTTCTTTCTTTACAAGTAGCCTGTTTTATTTTGTCTGATTTTAAGATTTTTTCTTTGGTTTTCGTATTCTGCCGTGTCACTATGACCAGTTTGGGTTGGGTTTTTAATACATTTATCCTCCCTACTAGGGCATTCAAAAATTTCTCAATCGTTATCTCTCTGTTTTTTTTTCCTGAGGAAGATTAGCCCTGAGCTAACGTCTGTGCCAGTCTTCCTCTATTTTGTACGTGGGTCACCACCACAGCATGGCTGCCGAGTGGTGTAGGTCTGCGCCCAGGATCCGAACCTGCGAACCCAGGCTGCCAAAGCGGACTGTGCCAAACTTAACCATTTCGCCACAAGGCTGACCCCTCAACCATTATCTCTTAAAATTTTTTCTCTTCTCCATTTATTTTTCTTCTGGAATTCTATTAGATGTGTGTTAAGACTTGCTCACTCTGCCCTCAATGTCTCCTACTTCTTTATTGCTTTGTCCTGCGTTCTGCATAATTTCTTCAACTCTGCCTTCTACTTTATTGATTCTTTATTCAGGTGAAGCTAAGCTGCTGTTAGGCCTTCCTGTAGTTTTGTTTGACTTTTGGTTATTGTAATTGTCAGTTCTAGAAGCTCAGCTTGGTTCTTTATCATATCTGATTTTCATTTTCACAATCTTATTCCTTACTTTTAATTTTAATTGCATCATTTATTTCTTTAAATACACTTAACATTACAGTTATTTTTGCTTTTCCCAGTAACAGATGAAAATCCTTATGGGTTTTGTTTTGCTCTGTGTTGTGTTTGCTGCCTCTCAGTTATAGTGACTTGTTTCCTTTTGTGGGGGGTGTGTGTGTGTGAGTGAGTGTGAGAGAGAGATACTGAATTCACATTCCTTAAAACTGTCACTCATCCCAGGACCACATTTAACTAGACATTTGGCTCGAGGTTTTTCTGACTTCCTACGTAGTGTGAATTCTTGGTAGAAATATTCCTGAGGGCTAGCTTCTTAAGAACTTGCAATGGAGATTTGGGTTTCTTCTCACCCCCAAGTGTCAAAGTAAGGATAAGGCAGATAATTTTTTTCCTACTATTTCCTGTGCAGGGCAGTTTCGTTTCTTCTTATGTCTTTTTTTTTTTTTTTTTTTTTTT